CTAGTACACCTGGGTGTCCTTCTTGTCTGGACTACCCCACAAGGCTGACAAAGTGGGAATTTATCATGAAGTCTGTACAGCCTAAGTCTGTGTCAGTCTCATCCTATTTCTTCAGATCTAACCCTCTCACCCACCTTGAATTTCTTTCAACACCACAGCTAACAAAATGCAAACATAAAGAGAAGGGTGTTTATAAATGTTTATTTCTTTTTTTAAAAAATATTGTCATATTTCCTTTCTTGGACTCGTGTATGTGTGCACTTGTTTCCTTAGATTAAGTAAGTAGTTAAGTAAGTAAGTAAGTAAAATATTAGGCAGACACCACAAAGGTGAAATAGATTTTCCAGGGAGCCATAGGGAAGCAGCACAAGAATGTCACAGCTGGGCAATAAGGAAGAAAAGCTCTAGGAACAGAAAAATCAGGGGCTGGATCCTGCCAAAGTTTAGCTCTTTTAATGTCCTACAAAGGGTTTCCAGTGGGTAGATTTAAAGAAGAGGTTAAGTCTCCCCATGGAACCGCCTAGGTGTTGAACTTTGTAGGATCATGCCCACAGCGTCCTAGCACCCATGATACACACACATACATTCTAACACTTGGTTTTTGTATTCAACATCTAGAATTACTGAGATACAATTATAGCACTTAAATATACAAACTGAAATTGAAGCACGTGAACACGATCTTTAACTCTAAAATTCAGAAGTTATTATTGCACATAAGACTTGTAAAATAGGTTTCCAGGCTATAGGCAAGTTTGTTTCTCCTCAATTCTGATTTATTAAGCATATAATGTTGTTCTTAAAAAAAGAAGGAAAAAAAAAAGCAAACACTCTCAATACTTTTAAAAGAGTTATCTATTGGTGGTTTTTGAAAACACAGTCTGTCCATTAATACTGAGCTGGATATAAAGGAGAAAGGATTAATAGAATAAACAGATTTATGTTTAGAACAGCCATCCCCAGTTTGATAGGGTCCAGATGGTAGACTCCAATGCCCATAATCCCCAGTCAGCAAAACCTCTTGGCTATGTGGATTTGGCATTATGGGAGTTACATATGGAGGGTGCTAGTTTGGCAAGAGTCTGGTTTATAATGAGCAAACTGGGAGTCCCGCGATAAAATAGGTAGAAATTTCAACTTTCAACACAGCACCAAAGAGGTGTGCATGTGTTTGTGTAGGGCACAGATTTAATAAAGCACCATAACAACATCCTAATAAGGGAAATTCACCTGCAGAAGCTGATTTATGAACACCACAGCCAATGTGACTGCAATTCAGATTGACGTCAGAGCCCCATCTCAAGGACCTACTTTGGGGACTTCCACACAAATTGATTGAGTCACTCCTGGATTGGCCCTGGGATTGCAACCCCATGCCATTGTCTCTCTTTGGCTGCTGAGCTCCTTGAACTGCCCTGAATCTGGCTTCCAGCTTGGACTACTGGAGCTCTGCAGAGCAAGGGGGATGGCTCATGTTCTCATTGGAGGAAATTCTTGTCTCATCCCTCCTCCCAACTTCAGCCACTCCAATCAAGTGCTTTGTACTGTTTACCCAGAGTCAGATTAACAAGAGTTCTGTCTCTGCTCCATCAGGGAATAGTGGCTGGAGAACTTCACTGCCCATCCCTGGTAGCCCAAGCCAAGCAAATAAAGATGAAACTGACAGGACTTTCTTTTCTTTTCTTTTCTTCTGAGTGGTGTGAGGAAAATGGCATTTTGTGGCTGTTGGCGTACAACCAGCAGCAAGAGAGGGAGTGGTGATTTTCATTGGTTCCCAAAGTATCTGAGTCTGCACAAATGAAGATGATGGTGGATTGTTTTTAAACTACTTTAATGGGATTTGGGAATGGAGAGGATGGTGTGGAAATGCTCTGAACTAATTACTACTATTTTTAATGTTGATTGCAACATGCACCATAACCTGATCCCATAGTTGTTGACCCAAATCAGTGCTGGACTGAGACACATATATAAGCAATTCTCAACTGGACTTGAAACCACTATCATATTTTTACCAAGAAAACTGCATGGCCATTGGGCATGAATTCACCAGCAGTCAAACTCAACTTCACTTTTTACTTCAACAATTCCTGGTAGAAAGCATATACAGGGTGATTATCTCTAAGAATCTCACACCAGAGAGCAGCATTAATTCCATTTCCCCCCTTCATGCTTGCAATGCTTTTTCTCCCTTGATTGTGAAATTTTCCAGGCACATCATTCCCTTCCTCAAAATTATCTACAAGAGATGCAAATCAAAGGAAAATAATCTTTGCACACATGAAAGGAAGAAAGCAACCTCTATTCAGTAGTTATTTAATGGCAGTTAATTTAATGCATTCTGAAATAGTGTTCCAATGGAATCAACTTTTCACCCAGCTAAGTACTAGCTTAGCTGTTTCTTGATACGTGTCATACTCCAAAGAAAAAAAAGTTGGGGAAAAGAACCAGAGAAGCTTAATTTTCAAAGTTCAGAATGGTAGAAAATGGAATGTTAAGATCAAAAACTGAAGGACCAAAGCTATAGGGACATTTCATGCATGTTACAAACAGAAGATTAGATTTGTTATGGAATGTATACCCAACAGGGAGCCGCAAGCAATCATAGTTCCCTGATAAAACTACCTCTGTGATAAACATGGTTTGAGAACATGTTATAGACACATATTACATTCACACCTACAAGTATTTATCTAAAACTGTAAAGATCCTAAGGGAAAATCTCAGAAAGTATGAAGTCAGCAGGCCATGCGGTCAAGTAGCACTAAATTCACAACTTGGGCCAGTAGATTAAAGACTTGCTATTCTTTATTTGCATTATAGTCATTTCAATGCATATGAACTCTGATAATCCACTGCCTAGTGTTTAGATGGAACTGTTGATTATTCTGATTTCAAAATAGGAATAGAAATGTAAACTGGTTTTCCAAAAGCCCAATTTCCCCATATCTGGTTGAAACTAATCATACAAGAAGATGCTTTCCATGACCCATCTCTAGTTCCATCAGCACAAAGATGGTAAGATGAGTAGCATTGCTACCTGATATGATGTACCCTAGAGTTAGAGGTAGTGCCTGAAGGACAGAGATGATGATATCCTAGCCTATTTTGTTCCCCTCAGGAAAGAGAACCTTTATTTTTGAAAATGAGCTCATACATGGTGTTGAATTGCCAGGCTGGCTAGATAGCTTCTTCTTATAGAAAACAACACAGTACTGATGAGTGAGAGTACCATGGACAACAGAGCTGTAAAAAAGGAGTTAAGAGTGAGTGAACTAAATATTGCTTCCTTATTAACAAGTTCAGGTTAGAAGAAGTTTTGTATTGTTTTGGAAGATGGGCTAATTTAATGAATCTTCATTAAGTAAAGATGAATAGCACAGTTCCCTCCATCCAGGCTCTTGCACGATGGTTCATTTGTAGAAGCAAAAACTTCTTTTGACTCCAAAGTCTGCCTCCAAAATCAGATGCCTTGTTTGGGGAAAAAAATCCCCAAACTCTACCATAGAGTCCCTGTATGGGGAACAGCTGAGGCTGTCTGATTTTTGGGATGTGGTTGATTTGTTTTTTTCTCTAATCCATGTGAACCCAGGTGAAGCAAGTTGTCTGCAGGGTTGTGTGTATGTTTGTGTGTCAAAAAAGTCAAGACACAGTCTGCAACCATGTGATCGAAGCCTATCTTTTGCACATGCAACAAAGGTAGAAAAAGGGTGGGGCTTTGGTCACATGGTCTCGGACCCCATCTGACTTCTTTGACCTCCTCTAGAAGTTGCCCCTGAGGTGAAGCCTTAGGAAAAGAGTTTGGATCTGTCTTGATTAAGTCTGATTAAGGACTAAGATTTGTTTCTTCAATGGGAAAAACGTTACCGATAGAAAATGCTTTATTCCCCCCAAGGAGGCAATTCTCTCTCTTCTAGATTTCTCTGGCTTCTGTTAGGAAATCAGACAGCAACTCTAAACAAATCTGCCTCCATATCCACTTGTCAAGGTGAACCCAACACAGCTCATTTGAGTTTCTTTTATGGAGGTCTTTAGGGATATTATTGTTTTTGCTTCAGTAACACAGCTATGAGTTAGCTGAAAATGCAAGGCAAATAATGGGCTTCTTTTAAGATAAAATTAAGACTGGAGCTAAGCAATCTTTTTTTCTGAAGAGACTTGAAAGCAATTTCAAAGAAATCTCACTGGGGTTTCTTCTCAAAGAGATGAAAGTGGCAACCTACTGTCTATTTTTCACAATGGTGTTTCCCCCCCTTTTCTTCCCTTGTCATTTATGCTCTTCAATGTAGATGAATAATTAGGTTTTTGATAATGAAAACCTACAAAACCTGCGAGGGAAGGCATAAATGTTGGAGGGAGTGTTACCAGCAGAGTTCAGTGCTTGGTTGTTGTATCACCTTCAATTCTCTGAAGGGAAACAAACAATGGTCTGTTGGTAGCCACACAATCATCAAAAGCTGACAAGCAAATCTAAACTGTGTGACTAGTTAACACAGACAAGACACTGCTTTTGTCTTACCTAGCTCTACCAAATATCAGCTGGGGGGGGTGGCTATCCTAAACAGTGGAGTGAACTTTAATGTGAATTTTTTTTTTTTACAGCTCCTTAAACATGCATAACTGGGAAATGCAAACCCACCACCCACACTCATATCACAGACAGCGATGAAGGGAAAGGCCATGACAAAAAATGGAGGAAGACAATTTCAACACAACGTTTGGATACAGCCTAAGAAGATGTAGTCAGAAAAGAAGAGTTGGAGGATACAGAAACTGCAATCTCTACAACCACGAAACCTCCCAGAGGGTACTGATTGAAGTCACTTCCTCCTGGTGGTGACCGAATCCACCTCATTCAGCCACAATCTACTCTTCTTTCATGAGAAAAGGCAAAGAAACAGCTGAAGACAGGACCGTGAAGCATTCCAGAGTGTGGAAGCGTGGGAGTTTGCAGACAAACATATAGGAGGAGGAGGAGTAAATTTGAGGAAGATAGAGAATTCAACACAGCAAGGCTCATTTATTATCATAGCTGGACTACATAAGAAATCTCTGTTATGGATGTGGCTGGGCTTACTGGGGAGTGAGGCTGCTTAAAATCCCACGATTATTTGATGTGTTGGACGCCTATGCAGAAGCACACTGTCCCTAAGGGCTCAACCAGAAACTCAATATCTGTATAAGCTCTGGGGTGCTTGATGTAAGCCAAGGTGGCTACCCCATTCTCAGTGTGTACTCTCACATACTCACATACTCACACACACCAACACTCAACATTTCTTTATGCCACCCAAGGACATGCACAGCTGCAACTCGTACAGGACTGTAATGCACGTGTTCAAATGCTTGCAAGCGTGCACGCTCACAAAGCGGTGAGTGTATCTAAATGAGGGGAAGTGGAGAAATGATCTTCCTAAAAGATTTAATTGACTTTATCTGGATTAAAAAGCCTGACATTCCACTAACTAAGAAAATAACAATATTTTTTCCAGATGCTTTCCACTGGCTAATGCTTGAAAAACAATGCCTAATATTTTCTGGATAATGCAATTTTGTCTTTCTTTCTGTAGGTGATGCCTAATGTTTTCCTCCTCCAATGTTGTGAAGATAAAGGATCGCACTGCAGAACATAGGAGGAGAACACTGGGTTCTAGTTAGATACAAACTTCCCACACCTAATGAACAGGGCAATATAAAAACAAAGCTACTGAGATACCTATTTTACCAATCCTTTTATTACGGGAAACCATGTCTTGCAGTTACTGTACCTAACGTGCTGATTTCTTTTCCACAACTAATTATTTTATTCTTTTAATTGATATTCTCAGCAATTTCCATGTCAGAACCACTTGCCTTTCCATCAAGATGCCTAGATGACTGAGAAGCCCTTTATTCTACAGCACTAGCTAGCACACCAACTACATGAGAAGCAAATACAGACAAGTTTGAAAGTCTTCCTAACCAAGAAGCCTAAGTCCAGTAAAGGTGATCACAAATAGCTATTAACTCAGTGCATGGATGTTCATCCTTCCAGAGGAACTTTTCCAAGATTTTGGAAACCCATCTAGATATCTGAAATGACTGCTGTGGAGCTGTATTTGCAACTAGCAATACACTAGCTGTCCCTCTCCAGTACGGTCCTTGATCTCACAGGAGAATGGATTGTTCCTGATTCTGACCTGTTAGGCAAATTCTGGTGATCTGCTGCAATGAAAATGCACAAGTGATTGGCAGATTGCTTGACAAGCATTTGGACAGGACATTTACTGCAGGATATTGCTGGGCACCACAGCCAGAGCAATGAAGGAGGCCGGTATTTCTCATAACTTTTGAGCCTGGTTAGGAGCTGAAATGTGTCACTGATCATTAAAATTTTTAATTTAATATTAACAAAAGGTCCTCTGGAACCTACAGTGCAGAGTACTTCCCCCCTCCCCTTTTGCTCGGCTATAGCTTTGATCTCTGCTAAGCTGGGAAGAACGAGAATGTGTCTCCTCGGCCACATAAAGAGAATGGACCCAACCCAGGCAAGTGTACATACATTCACACATTCACGCATTCGCACATTCTGCCATAGTTAGTTACATTCAACTGTGTTTCCTGATCATCTTGTTCAGTTGTTCCTCTCCATTCAGTTTTGACTGCTACCTCCCAGCCCTACAGCCTGCATCCCGGCCAAACAGTGCTCTTGGTGGCGTCTACCAAATATAGCCTCCATCATCTGCTTCTCCCTCCTCCTCTTCAGCTTCCTCGCCAGCTTCTTCTGTCTCTTTCTCTTCCTCGTCTTCCCATCCGACACCACTCCCAAAGTCCCCTGAGAATCCAACAATGTCATCTATAGAAACAAGAACAAGAGAAATGCAGTAGGAGGAGGAAATTTCCCAGTCCTTCAATAGCGGAGACTATATGTAGCTCAGGGATGAATTGCTGGGTTTCTGGCAGAAACATCTGCAAGAAGAAAACCAACCTCAGGGAGCACCAACAATCCATCACCTAATTCTAGATTTGCTAGGAAAGAGATTTTATATTCTTCAGTATTAGTTTGCAAGATTGCAGCAGCTGCTTCAGAATGCAAATTCTTACAATACTGCAAAAATTGAACCATGGAGAGCTGTTCTATTATTTCAAAACCCTTTTGCCACAGTCTGATATTAATGTGGGACACTGGCACTGATGGGTAATAAAGTTGGCCTTGTCCCAAACCAGGTGTGGAGAATTATTCAAATCAAATCAATCTTTATTGCAGTCATTAACCATCACAGGCAGAATTCTTCTGAGTTTGGATTCCAAGATACTGAACACTAGCACTCTGCATTATTGCTTCTACATCTCAGGCAGTATCTGCTTTAACCTTTACTTTGACCAATTGCAGAAGATATTCAAAGTCTCCATTGTACCTTCCACCAAAGGAACTGTATATTAGTGAGGTGAGCTGATTAAGAGTAAGCAAGAAACTAAATGCAAAGAGTAGCAAAAACTTCTTAATTCACCAGGTCCTCCTATTTGCATTTATAAGGGAGTAGAGAATTAAATGTATTCCCAAGTCTGGAACATGCTATATGTGTAATGATATGTGGGAAAGATCTTGGGAGATGCGGGGGGAAGAGATGCTGCCTAGGGAGTGGTCAGATAAGAGACAGCATAACCTGCAGCTGCATAATGGGCAGAGCAGGAGGCTCAGAAGGGACCCTCCCTAAGTTCTTGGGCTGTAAAGGTGAAGGTAGGAGAATTCTACTTTCACACATGCAAGATTGATGTTAGCCTTACCAGGTAGACCAGACAGGAAACACAACCAGATAAACTAATTGTACGTTATTATAAAGCTACATTATCAGAATCTTGCACATCTAAGAGTACAATTCTCCCACTTTCACCTTTACAGCCCAAGAACTTAGAGAGGGTCCCTTCTGAGCCTCTTGCTCAGCCCATTATGCAGCTGCGGGTTATGCTGTCTCTTATCTGACTGTTCCCTAGGCAGCATCTCTTCACCCTGTCTCCCAAGGTCCTTCCCACATACCATTATAACATGATACCAAAAGGGAAGGAAGTCTATCCATTCCCAGCTCCTCCCATGGAGTCACGCATTTCTTCACAGAAGAGAAAACAAGAAGATACTGCTTCTCTTTTCCTCCAAAAAAAGAGGGGGAAAACTGTCTGTACAAATATCTTAATCTATGTAAGACAAAGTAGGGAGCCCATGTTCATCCTGCATAAAATGATTTCCTTATCCCACTGTGGAATACATATTGAAACACAGCGCTCTCACAAATTCTCAAGTGGAATGCCTGCAAACTTGGATTTACTCATTTTGGCCATCCTTCAGGTAAGAAGTGGGACAGCTGGGACAGAGCCACTCTGGGATGCTTGCAAAGTGGATACCACCTGGAGGGCAGTTGGGTGTTCCTGGAGGAACCTGGACTAAATGGACCACCCAAATTAGAAATGCAGTCAGATGTTCTCCATCTCTTAGAATAAGTCTTCCTTGTATCATGACATTTATGTATTCAAAAAGGGGTTTGTCAAGCACAAATTCCGCTGATTTGATAAAGCAGATAAACAAGTAGGTAAAAAAATTCTTAAGAGACATGACACAACCACTTGCTTGATTGCACCATTTGTGGAATGATATCAAGATGCACATCAAAGCTTGACATCATCATGTCTTGTTACTGATGCTGCTGAACATTGGGCCTGACCAGCAGACACCTCCCAAGGAATCCCAGAACTGTAGATTAGAGTGTGAAGTCAAACAACATCCTGGAAAAAGGCAATACCAAACAATTTCTCTGTACTGTTGCTAAGAAAACTCTGTAGTTGTGTCAGTGTAATGACCAAGAGTTGAGTTTGACATGAAGATGTCTTAATGCTACTTCATGTGTAGTGTGTATTCTCAAGCCCCCTCCTGCCCCAAATCTCATCTCTCCCCTTTTCTTACCACAGTCTGGATTCCCATGCATCCGCGTTCCTGTCAGCTCTGTGCCAAGATGATCAACACACCAACACTCCCCACTGCTTGAGTCACACTGCATCTTCCGATAGTATCCATCTTCATCACAGCTCGGAATGAAGACTCCTGGGTGAAGAAAACCAGCCACTTGTCTTAAATAAAACTAGCACTGAGCATTTAGGGCATTTCCGCCCCAAGATTCTCTGAATGCAACTCCAGACCTCTGTGTTCTCACACCATGGTCTGCATTCAGAAGTTGTGCTGATATATTTCCAGCCTAAAAAGGGATAAAGAAATCTTGCTTATCCAGGTAAGGCTCTGCAGAAGCTGCAAGTGATCAGTTTTTCAACTGGCTGGTACTCTTGCCCCACTCCTGGGCAAGAGTACCAGACTTGCCATGCTTTTCAGGGGTCCTTAAAGGAGAAAGGGGCCTTGACAGCTTGACAGGTCCTCCCCCTAGTCACAGCTCTGCCTTTTTTGCACACAACTGGACAAATGCACCCCACTGTGCATATTCTGCTTTAAACCAACCTTATAAGGCTGCCAGATTCTCACAATCCTTTCCAGTAGCAAAGGGCTGACATTGTCAAGAATTGTGTTTCCCTTTTCTCTTCAACAGTGCCAGTCTACAAGCACTGTTGCGCCTGCCTCTCCCCCTCTTGTCCACCCCAGTCCCTGCAGCCGCCATGATTCCAGCTACCAGGAAAAGCCTCTGGCTGCCAAACGGCTGGCAGGCTTGCTACCCTTTTACCATCATTGCCAGCAAGAGGCTTCTATGATTGCAATTACATCCTGCCTTTGATCTGGGAGTGCAAGGTAGCCTACGTGATGGCCTCTGCTCATTTCATTCCCCCAGCAACAGCTCCGCGAGGGAGACTGGACTGAACTGCAATGCAGTAACAACGGCTTAGTGATTCTGAAATTACCTCTTGGCTTACATATTGACTCCCCTATGGAACAGCCTCCCCCCAAAGTTTTTTTTTTTTTTTTTAGATTTATGCCCTACCTTTGTTTTTGTACAACTCCAGGTGGCAGATAACATTCACCACCTATGCTCCCCACAACAACAGACTTGTGCGGTGGGTTGGGCTGAGAGAGAGCGACTGGCCCAAGTCACCCATCTGGCTTTCATGCCTAAGGGAGGACTAGGGATCATGGTTTCCCAGTTTCAAGTTCAGCACCCCAATTATTACACCAAACTGGCTCACAGATGGCCTTGATCCAGTTGTGCTTTTTATAAACCTGTCTTTTCCAGAAGGCCCTGGAATAGGGTGAGTATGACCTACTCCCTGGCAGTGGATTTCTGTCTTACGACTATCACTGAGTTTCGCTTGCCCTTCCGCTGATGTGTTCAATTCTCTTGGCTGTCTATCTGCTTATTTTGCTATTTCTCACCCTAAAGTGTAAGCCGTTTAGAACTGCTTCTGTGATGGAGGTGGCATACAGCAGGATCAAACAGGTAAATATATAATGTGGGGGTGGGGGTGCAAATGAGAAGAGAAATACATGCAGAGTATGTGCTTGAAAGGTAGGACAAGATTTGCAAATGGTTTTACTCCAGCCCTGCACGGAGTTATGGGACAGACAATATGATTTTTCTTGCTCTCAGGACCTGAAGTTGCTGGGAGTGGGCACCTATGGGAGTGATTGATTTGCACTCTCTGAGGGCCAGATGGAGGGAGAACTCCAGTTGGATCACGGTATGATATTCTCTGCCTCATCTTTGTGTCCCCAGACAAGCAAAAGTGCAAACAATCCCTGGTCACCTGATTGAGGAAGTGGGAAATGGAAAGGCTGGAGGGTGCAGGTGGCTTGAACTACAGCAACAACTCTATTTGTTTTCAGGAAGGAGAGCTAGACTCGCCTTGGGTATCTAATGTTTGCAGCCTACCACTGAACTGGAATCCATCTTTCTTCCCTGAAAATTTAAAGAAAGAAATACTTCCACAAGAAAAAAGTTTCAACCATAAGGGCTAAATTAGCCACAGTTAGATCAGTTTTAAAGGCCAAAACATTTGACTATATTTTTTTTTAGGGGCCAAAACATTTGACTATATTCGGCAAGGTACTGTTTTTGAAAACATACCCTGCTTCAATACATAATTAGACAAAAAATGTGATTTAGGTTCTAATTGTCAACAGGCAAATGAGGCATGACATTAGCAGTATTAAAGCCATTCCAAATTGCTAAGCTTTTTTCTCACTCTGATGGCTTATTATGTGGCGCTTCTCTGTCAGCCATCCACCCACACAAATGGATCAGGCCTGGGGGATCCATGACATCCGCCGCACTCTTCTGATGAATGTGAGAGTGCCTGATGTTTCAGCAACGGAGTCTTCTCCAGGCAGAAAATGCAAGGACTGTGGATGGGTTCACACAGCTCTTAACCATCTTTAAATCCTGGGAACTCCATGTCACACTTCCATAACTATTCTTGAACCCTTGGAGAATAGGGTGTGTAGTAATACAGTAAATACATAAATGAGTGAGTGTACGGACAGGAATTTACTTTGTAGGAGATGGAGAAGAAGCCCATGTTACTACAACTCTGATTCCCAGACTTTTATACAACTGCAGCTCTGGGGTTTTGCAAGCCTTAGAAAGAATCACGAGCAAAGATCATTTTAGGTGAAGTACGCATGCTACAGGAAACAGGCCTTTGTCAAACTATCTCCCGTCCTCTTGAAACTGAGCACACACGCTCATTTGTTTGTCTCCAGCTTCAGTGCCTGAATTCACATAGGCAGGAGACAGAGAATGCATTGAAGGCAGCTTGAATTCATGAGTTGCTACAGATGGATGCCCTCAGCTTATTTTTCTTTGCCTCTGATAAATGAGTTTGATAGGTTTGGGTATTATTTCATAAGAATTACCCAAACAGAATTGACAGGGACATACAACTGTGTCTGTTAGCTCAAGAAATGAAGCCTTACCCAAAGCACTCTCAACTCTCTTAAAAACAACTGTACCATTCACATACATCTCTAAGCAAATTTCTTGAAAACTGGTCAAGCTGCAATGTGTGGCTGAGATAAGCTTTTTGTGAAATGATACAGAGAGGTGGAATACTTATTGGCAGGCAGAGAGAAACCAGGGCTCAAGGCTGAACCCCGCATCAGGGCTCCAATGCCCTTGGAAGAATTTGCTTTTAAGCTGAGCCTGAGAAAGGAAACCACTAGTTATAGTATACAGTTCAACTTGCCTTGGGAAAACCTTCAAACAAAGAGCCTCTCAAACTTGATGGAGAGCGTGGGCTCCAGAGTGACTGTGAGTCTAGACATCTCCAGTCCACATTCTGTCTGGTGGCATCATTCACCATATCTGAAGGAAGTAAGCTAGCCTAGGAAGCAAAGGATGGGTAGTCTGCCATGCATAGCTCTGCCTTCTAACTCATGGCCTCTGCTTCCAACCTCAATCTGCCTAAGGGTAGGGCTGGCCAGTGGTATCCGTGGGGGGGCCAAAGGACAGCAGAATGATGAGAACAGTTTTCTGGTGTTGAGACACACGCTCTACCTCTTTTGTAGGTGTGTGGTGATATCTCAGGTATGTACAAGAGGTGGAGCTTGTGGCTCGAGGCTGTTTTCATTATTCTCATAAAAGCAGCAAAGGCCCATGAGGGTGGTTATGAAGATTATTTTAAGAACTGAAAAAAAATCTACGTGATATATCTGAATAATTGAAATGTACATACTTAACCCAAGATTCTTAATATATACCCAAGTTATATCACTGAGACATCTACTGCTTCTTAAAAACTTTATGGTCAAACGAGATCTCTTTTCCCGCTCTTCTACAAATCTCCAAATAATTTTCTTTACTGCTTTCATCTCAGCAACTCACCAGGTTTCTTTTTTGAAGCTTCCTGGATCTGAATCCTCTCTAACTCCGTAAGACATGGAGGCTCTGTAATAGCCAAAGCAGAGTTAATCAGTGCCAGATCAGCTCAATGTGATCTCCTGAGCATATTAAGGAAGCAAGTCCCTTTCCTGCAACTTTTCCCTGATTTGGAGGTGAAGGACATGAGCACCCACCTGTTCCACAAGCTTGTTGTAAAGATGACTATAACAATATATGCAAATAGGCCTACGAACTTAGGAAAAAGCATTATATACATTTTAGGCATTTTATTACTTTGTTTTAAATAGAAACAGAGCCCAAACTCTAATATACACATCAGCCCACCAGGCCTTTGCTTTGTTCCCTGAAATCTGGTAGCACTGGTGGTGCCATCAATGTACACCTAGGAGAAGCATTTAGAATATTATCAGAGTATCTATGTATGCCTCTAAGCAGCTACTATAATCATTAGCCTTCCACCTGGATCAACACAATCCATTCCTGACTTAAAGGACATAGCAGAAAAGCCCAAGCTGTCCCCAGGAAAAAATCTTGTGGTGACGCACTCTCTCTCCAGAAGCAGAAACACCACTCCGCAGTGGAGACACGCCCGTCCTTGTAGGTGTCGCAGGAATTGAAGAAAGGCCTGATGCAAATCTCATACTTATCCAGGTTGATAGCTGCCAACTCTGCCTGATCCAGGAAAAGATCACTGTTGGTGTCCAACTTGGAAAACATCCAACCAATAGAGTCTTTGCAACTGGCCACCAGGTTTTTGTCCAGTGCTGCAAATAAATGAAAATTAAAATAATTGGAGAGGCAGAAAAAGGAGTGAAGATCTTTGCACTTCCACAGTTCACAAAATTTGAAGTCTGTATTCTGCAAACATGGAATTGCAGAAATGGGATGCAGATTTCCACATCCAGAGAGCCCTAACTTTCATAAGTCCTTCTAATAGTGAATCCAAGTGGTTGATGGTTGTCAGGCCACAACAGGATCACAAGAAAAATCAGCATGTATGGGTCACTTGACCTTCATAGGAGTATCAAATTTCCTTTAAAAAGGAGGTATCTCCTTTCTGTGGGGACTTGTCTAGGCAATTGCCAGGAGTCAAAACTGACTTGAATGTGCACACATACACACACACATCTCCTCTCCAGGCAGCCTAATGAAGAGCGAGCATGACCAGTAGTCATGGAACTCTATGAGCTAGCTGGAAAGCAAGCAATAAACTGGTGTGTGTGTGCGTGAAATCATGTGTTACCAATAGAAGTGAATATGTGTAGCTCAGGGTTGAATTGTGGAGTCCTTGGGGTTCTCTGAGCTTGGTTCAAGCTCAGAGAACCCCAAGGACTCCATGAAAGCATGTGTCCATGCATAGGAAAAGAGTGGAGAACACTGAGGAAGGAATGTTTGGGTAAAACACTGATGGGACCATTTTAATAGAAAGAGAGAATACACTGCAGTATTTGGCTGTAGGTCCTACTGCCATTTTTAAGGACTAAGCCATCTTCTTACAGCAGGGATGAAGAAACTGAGGCCCTCCAGGTATTACTGAACTACAACTCCCAACACTCCCCTCACTGGTGATGAAGACAGACCTGGCCTGAACAGTCAATCCTTGATGAGCTTTCCAAAGCCAAGTCAAAAATCTAAGCAAGATGCCCTCTATTTAGGAAGCAGAATTCCTGCAGTACTGTATGCAATGCTATTCTCTTCTCCAAGACTACCAGAAGAAGCCAATAAACATTCCACCAACATACTTTGCATCATTTACGCAGGATTCAGCTTTTCAAAGTGCACAATGTTAATTTATACAAAAGTTATATGGAGTACACATAATGAAGAGTATTATCCCTGGGAAAGATTGACCGATGCTGCTAATGAGTGGCAAGGTTCAAACTTCAGACTTTAAAGTGAATTTTATGCGGTGTGAAATTCTGCACTGGAGACAGAAAACACTCCAAAGAGAATATATTAATTAAGCATGCATACTTAAGCATGAGACCCACAACTGGGGGCCTATAGGCCAAACTGGCAATTGCCTTTCTCTGAAGCTAACCTGGAAGCAAAAGAAATATGACTTTTGGCAGCAGAAGAGCCATAGCTCACTTGAAGAGGCTGAGACCTAATGCTGACCCCCCCCCCCCCCCCACAACCAGCCCTCTTAGCCTCTGTTCTCAAAATAGCTCCCCAGGAAAACATGCTACAGATGTGAGAGATCAAGGGTGATTGAAATTGGTCAATAATGCCTGCTCCCCCTTCTCATTTCACAATATGTATCAGTTTGCTCCCCATAAACTTCCCAGTGGCTGGAGGCCAGCCATTCTGGCTAATGCACCCATCTGCAAAATCTAGCTGATAAAACAACTCTAACCCCCCTGCCAAGACTGCAGGGGCACCATAAAAAAGGGTCAGGACTTTGATCACACCATCACAACCGCCATCATGACTTCTTTGCCCCCGCCCCTTGTGGATGCACTGGCAAGGATGGCAGAAGAGCATCTGCCTGAAACCCAGCTAGTTGAGTTGATTTCATTCAGCTCACTCCCCAGGGAAGCTATTTCTATTCAGTGACATTTAAGTTAATGATCTTCTTCCTGACTGATGGCACTTCATAGTCTGCAAGTGCTTTGGGATCAATCTGCCGACTCTGCTCAGGGACTGGAGATTTATTATTATTTCTTAATAAGTACACAAAAACGTTTGCTGTCTTGTGCTCACCCAGCAACTGGCAGGATGGATAGCCCTCACATTTCACCCAACCGGGGAGCAAAGTGGCTTGTTCTTGTGGTCCTATTTAGGCCTGACTTGCAGTCACAATGATTCCCAAGAACAAGCCACAGTTTCCAGTGTTCCGTAGGGCCTGCTCATTTTTAGGGAGCAAACGTCAGGTTTTTTCAGCTACCAAAAATAGGAAAGGCTTCCAGGACTGGCTTTAGTGCAACTGATTCCACTGGATCAGGGAACTGGAGCACAAGAGTTATTGAACGGCAGATCCATCAGCCCAGTCACCCGAGAAGGCTGTTTCAACAGTGAGATGCAACAGTTTTGAGGGGCCACTTAAGCAGGCACTCCTAAGCTTAAACCAAAAGTTAGTTCTTACTCCTTCTAGAGATAAGTAAAGACTGACAGGGCCAGCGTCAACCTGGAACAACTGCTATACAATGCTCAAATTCCACTGAACTTAAATTGTGTTCTCACTAGTAACCAGGGGTATCTGCTGGAGATGGTCAGAACAGTCAAGATGGCAGTCATAATGATGCAATGAAAGCTCTAACTGTTTTTTATGTGGTCCCAACTGAGCTTCAACTGCACCTTGTGGCCATCATCTCGACTTTTTTAACCATACCTTGCGGTGTCAACCATGAATTTGATACATTATATTGTTTCAGTACAATGGTATTTGTACAGTATCAAAGTTATTAACATTCTATTCTTTAGATAGCTTGGAAATAAAGAAAAAAAATATTCTATCAATGTTAATTACAATTTAGGATATAAATATTACAAGCATAAAATCATTTGACTTTTTCATACAAAATTGAGTATAATATTAGAAGAAACTGCTACAGATTATCTCACAGTGTTCATTATACAATGTAGGTTTCAGTCTTGAGCTGATCGCTTAGTACTGAAGTCTCTATTGTACAGTATAATTTTATATGTATAACATGTTAATAAAAGGAAAAAATAGATAAGGAGATCATATTTAGCAAAAATTAAATACCAAAAAATAGTTAAAAAGAAAGAAAAAGGAAGAAAAAGGAAAAAAGAAGTATTGGGTTTCTAACTCCCCCCTTTTTGTACATCTGCTAATTTGCCCTATTGTAGACATTTAAGGTCCATTAGAAGCCAGACTGTAAGTCCTTATATTTGCCATGCTCCATGATGTATTATATGTATGGGAAACATTCTTGCTTAAATTTGCACATATCCTGTCAGTTTTTCCATTGTTGCTTTGCTGCATATTCTCCAAGTTTAAGTTCCCAGCCAGATATTAATTTCAATGCCTTTTTCTTCAGCCGAATTGTGAAAATGGCTGACAAGATTGGATCACATATCTTGTGATCTTTAAAAAAACTGGCCTGCTGTCAGCCCCACTAGGTAGACCAGACCACAGCTCCACAGGAGGCTAAAACTACTTTTATTGAGATTGACTGTAATAATAGAACCTTGCAAGTCTGTGTTCTGCCTCCTCGTCCTCCTTCTAGTTCAGTGAATGAGGGAGGTGTCTGTCTTACAGTTTCATGGATTAGGGAGGGAGTTTCCAAAAGTTATCTGGATGTTCTGGACTTTAAAAAAATGCTTTAGCTCCTTTTACCTAGGGAACAGTACCTGCATATCTCTGTCAAGGTCATCTTCCTTAGTTTACACCTGCCCAAGAGAAGTCGGAGGTTAGAACCTTCTCCCGCATGCAAGTGTTTCATGAACAAGGAGGGGATATTGTCTTCTTGGCATAGGATGCTCATTATGTGATCCCACACTTGCAGCTTGAACTAGTAAGGACCTAGGAGTAAGTACTGCATTGTATATCAAGATAAATGATTGCTCTGGACACAGAGAGTCATCAGGCACAGATATTGGTAAACTGGGTGAAGTCACCGTATGTGGTAACCCCTGGCTGTTCTTGGCAGCTCTTGAAAAAAACTACAGTAAGTGTGATTGGAAGACCACTGGAAATCATAAGATATAGACTAGGCTGGGATGGTAAATAAATAATAAACAAATAATAACAAGTAAAAAGAGAGACAGTTGGTGTGATATAGTAAGTGGTAGTTAAGGTGTTGGACGAGGACTGGAGAGGCCCAGGTTCACGGCCATATTTAGCTATCGAAACCTGATGGGTGACTTTGGACCAGTCGTAGCCTCTCTCATCCCAACCCATCCCATAGGACTGTTGTTGGATATAATGCATGGAGATCCCATGTAAGCCACCTTGAGCCCTTGGAGAAAAGGGGGGAAATCTAACAAATAAATAATATAAAAATAAATCAAATGAACATCCTGGAAGTGGAGCTATGCAAGGCACATACAAAAACAGATAAAGCTTTGATTGGACCATCGTGGCTGCCATCTTGACTTTTTTGTCCATACCTTGTGGACAGCTCTGCCTGGAAGAAAGCAACACCAAGCCACTGCCATTTTGCTGACAAGAAAGCAACCAGGACGTCTCCTCCACCAAGGGACCAGCTTAAGGGACATTTGACTTTCTCATCTAACAACACAGTTAATCAGTTTGTGTGCATCAGGAGTGGGCAATTTCCACAGAAGAAAGGATTGGGGGCCCAGCTGAGCTTCCCAACATTGGAAACAGGTGCAGGAGAATATCTAGAGATGCAGTGATGTTACTGGCATTTTTCAGCCTTCTGGTGGGAAGTTAAGGATGGGATGGAAGGGGGAAGGAGAACCCATTGGAAAGTACCCCACTCCCATTCCCAAAGCTGCCCTGAAATCCAAAAATCAGCCCCAAATTGCATCACATACATTTGGCCATTTGCTGTCAAATTCTGGCAGCAATCTAGGGGTAATGGGAAATGCAAATAGCCTGAGGGTTGCCCACTTCTGCTGTACATACACCCAAAGGGCAAAAGCAGCAGCCTGCGTACCATTCACGGGATTGGGCCCAACGCTTCCAGAGCTGTTCTGCTTGGCGTTCTCATGCAGCAGCTGGAACCAGTCCCGCAGTCGATCGCCCAGGTCCGCCAAGTCTTGTCCAGTGCAGGTTTCTGCAAATCAGTTGGTAGCATCTTAGGTGAGTGTCCCAGATGGGGAGACAGCAGGCAGGTAAGCACAACGTTTCTGCGCTGGTACACAAGTCCTTCTTAGGGTTTTCCCCCACAATCGCTCAAAGGATACCAAAATTTTGTTTTGTCCATGGCGAAAGTAAGCAACATGATATTTCATGCCCATTCAATAAATTCTCAGTGTCAGGGTAAGAGGAGGAGAATACAGAGAAGTAAATTCTCTAGGGCTGCAATGAAATCAATCAGCTAACATAGTGACTCACCTAAGACTTCTTTAATCTGATGATGGAAAATTGCAATAAACGTTCAACTTTACAAACTACATGAAGGTGAGGGGAAGGATTGTCTATTAAACCTGAATGTCTGTTAAATCTGAATCTATGTAATTTATGTCATCTGTGTCATTAGGTAATTATGCAAACTGATGTAAAAGATGTAAATTAGATCAATGGCCCAGTCTGTTCCAGAAACACTGGACCTTGACTGTTACTTGGCAGTAAAGTCCGAAGCTAACATTATGACTGCTGTATCTGAAATCTGTCGGAAAAGGGTCTATAAAACCAAGGATTTATTGTCATGCTAAGGGTTGACTCATTTTTATTTCATATATACCGTATATACTTGTGCATAAGCCCATCCTCAGATAACATGATCCTCCAATTTTTAACCAAAGTACCATGAAAAATGTGTTACCCATAAATAAGCCAGCCTGCATTTTTCATGGCATTTTGGTTTAGAATGTGAGGGTCTCCTTACCCATGGACAGGCTTATCTGTGAGTATATATGGGATATATGGGTACTTTTAAAAAGTATTAATATATATACTCACAGATAAGCCAAATCCTATTTTGGGGGTGTATTTTGGCACCTAAAATTCTTGGCTTATATATATATACAGTAGGTATGAGACTTTGTGTGTTATGACCAACAAATTCTTTTGTATGAACAGTTCAATGGATCTCCTGATTCTCATCTGTTTATCTTTTGTTGCCTGAACTAGAACTGAACTACAGATAGTATGAATCTTAAACTGAAAACTGAACCCCAAACTTAGTAGTTTGAATCTCTGTTTTAAAGTTTTCCCCCTGGTTATTCTCAGAGGCAGTTTACAACAAAATTACATGGTAAATTGTGGCCATGTCGCCAGCCAAATAATGTCGATCTTGCCCTCACAGAACCTGCTCTGTGTATTAGTGGAGGACTGATTTCATCTATTGTATGTTCAAGGACTGACTTCATCTATATTCAGAGGGTGGCACTGTCCAGATTACATGTATAGAGCAGAGGGTCATGTGGAGACAGAAAAGGTTAGCCATGCAGTGCAGTTCAATATCTAATTCACCGAGTGCACTGGCTCGTTCTGCGTGTCTACAGAGCCACAAGATGGAGAAAAGAAGAGGATACAATCATCCAAATTCTTAGTAGAACGATCTCTGACCTTGCTTGACATCTGTGGCTGCAGTCGGATTATGTTCACTTGTGCATGGGCACTGACCCTCACACTTCACTGTCAGCTGCTTGCTGGTCAGACAGGCCTGCTGTTCCAGTTTACACTGCAGAAGAGAAACAGAGAAGTCACACCAGCAAGAAGCACCTGGCCATCCAATGGGAATAACTTAAAGGTAGGGGACCTTGCTGGTGCTTCCTAAAGTCTGTCAGGATCACCTTAGCTTCAACTCACCTGGTCCTCCAGTACCCAGACCTGAATTCAACAGATTATAAACCTTGAGGTACTGTGTCATATCTAAATTCTAGAACAAGATAAAGATTTAATGCAACAGCTGGACATCCGTGCATAAACATGTAACAGATTATTTTTTCAATCATCCTAATTGCTAAATCTTTCCCCTCATTTCTTTGAGAATATAAACATACCTCTTGGATCCAAGCACTCTAATGTGTTTTAGATCAGACACAAGTGGACTATTCTGCTCTGTCTAAAGGTCTTTATGGGTGGTGGCAAAGCTTTTGTATATTCTACTGATGATGCCTAAAGAATGCACAAGTTATAGTATTGGCAACGAAGACCGGGCACAGTATAATAGTAAAACTAATTAGTATGCAAAATCTTAGTCTTTCTTCCAAATTTATTGCTCACTCCGGCCACATACCCTTTGCGCTTTGCGATATTTCACTTTTCTCTTTAAAAAGGTAGGTGACAATTACATTTAAAAGGTCTTTTAAAAACCTGCTTTTCCCCCAGGCTTACGGTGGGTGGCAAGTCTTTGATAGGATTCTGTAAATTGACTGGAATGGCCTTTTCTCTTCTAGCCATGCATCACCTCTTTTTTTTATTACTTTTTAGCTTTATTAATTTGACAAATAAATAAATAAACAAACCAACAAACATATGTTGAAAAATCATCTATAAATGCCAGGGGGGGGAAAAATCCTTCCAGTTACCTTTACAGGAAAGGGCCCACAGAGTTTGCTGTAGATTATATTTAAGGGTTTCTTTGACTGTCTTTCTGTATAAGGTGAGCAGACATCCTTAGCTTCATTTGCTTTGTACAATCAATATATCTGAATTTAAAGCAGCAGGACCTCATTGTAAAACCTTCCTTCATCAATTCTGAAATATATTCAATATTTCTGTGGCCATATCAGCAATGCCAAAGATCCACAAAGTCCTTGAGAACACGTCTTCTCAGCATTGGTTCATTCTGTCACGCATTCTGATTCACTGAGATTATCCTAACTTTAGTGTTCCTGGCATCATTATTTATTTATTTAGATTTATATAGCCGCCTCAAAACGACTCTTGGTTTTTTGGCTTTGCAAATGAAGCAACAACTCATTTTGAAAAGAATGCCTTGTAGCTGTTTTTATATTCCTAATATGATTTTCCACAAATATTACAGTTTAAGCAAATGGTTCCTTTTCCCTACACCTGAATGGGGTCACCATTGGTGTGACAGTTTGGAGCTTTACAACTCACAACTATGTCTGAAAAAGATCTAGATTGTTAAAGAAATAGGAAAAGGCCCAATTACTCATAAAGATTTTTATAAATCAGTTCTGAACTGATTCTGTATATCTTGCAATTTTCTTTTGTTCTGTGTTAGCATTACTATTATTCTTACACATATTTATTTATTGCCCAGACTTAAACTCAAGGCTGTTTACCAGAACAGAACACAACATAAACATTCCTACAACACGCAACCCCCATTAAAATATATGAAATCCCACTCACTTAAACAGAAAAAACCAGATTAAAAATACACTAGAATGAAAACTGAAAATGTCACTATTTGTGCCCAGAAGCCTGCTGGAATAAAACTCTGTTAATGGTTTTACAAAAAACCAAGATGCTGAGTGCCAAATGAACTTCAGGGTAGCTCCACTGTTTGGGGGCTGCCAACTGAGGACTGCTTCCAAGCACACATCTGCTTAACCTGATGTGATGTGGGGACCCGCCCCCGCCAAAACTTATTGAGATGAGCAGATTTAAACTAAAGATATTTGGAAGCCAAACCGTATAGGGCTTTACAGGTTAAAAGCAGCCTTGGATTGGATCTGGTAACTTAATGATAAGGATTCTGCTCAGTTTGTGGGGAGGGGACCCCTCTCTTTGGTGGTTTGGGGAGTGACAGTGGCACTGCAAAAGGGACCAACATAAAACACTCCTCGCAAATGATAGTTCTCAAAATGGTCAATGAGGTGGAATATATAATGAGACACACCAACTTGAGATCAAGATGTAGCAAAAGTGCTCTGTCAGGCTGTCTTTCTGAAGAAATAAACGGCAGAGAGAGAAGTCCTTTCACTCAACAGGCAGGCTGTATGTGACCAAGATTATGCCAATTCCAAAGGAAAAAAAGGAAGCACCATTTCTGCTACCACCAACCTGAGAATCTCAGTCCTTACTTTTTAATTTTTGTAAAAACATATTTCTGTCCCTTATTGGTAGGGTGAACATAGGCTCACAAACTTGTGAGTGATGGCTTCCAAGATCTAAGAAGGAGTTGGGGGATGAAAGCGCTTGATGTTGAATAACTTTTTGCCTCCTGACTTGCAAAACATGAAGGGATTGTGCAAAATGCATACTGTTTGCAGAATCCAGCTTGGATCTTCACTGAAGGTTGGTCACCCATGTACAATTTTAATGCATGGCATACACGGTCCTGCTTACAACTCAGTCCCAAACACATTAAATGCCCTGCAAGGTCCTTGTGGCCAGTTTCTCAAATACTCTTGATCCAGTGCATTTTCCCTTGTTCCCAAGGTGGTACCTCTTCTTGGTATAGCAGTCAGATGGATACATCTAATGCTTTACTCTCTAGCAACGTATCAGAAGAGTAACACAGCTCTCCTCCAACAAGGTTTTCAGCAATATGGATCTCTCTTCACTCAGACTTTATAAATTCCAGAGGCAGATTGTAAGGGAAGGATTAGTAGCAGGCTGGCTTTTTGATCCTGTTACAGCTTTATTATTTAAATTTCAAGCAACGAGGAACTCAAAGCAAAGACTAATGAATCTTCTTGGAGTTAATCTTCCCAAATGAAATTTCTTGCCATATCCTGTATTTGGGACTAATCACACTAAGGCTTCCTGCCATTCTTAGATGCATAATATATTACAGACCGACTGCTTCTTTCCTGCAAGCTATAAACATGTTTTCCAGTCATTGGTTGACCTGAGCACAAACATTTTAATAAATTATGATGCCCTGAGGAAAGGGTGTTAAAAATGACAAATCAATTACATTTATTATGATGGTAGACGGTTGCATAGGACAAAGCATTGCCTATATGGGACGTACCGGAAGAGAGGCCTTTGTTGGTAGCAGGGATTGGGTAGACAAGGTTTCTGACATGTTGCCAAGAAGTATATAGACCTTGTTTGCATGAAATGTACACATACTAAGGTGTTTTTAGCTCAGGAAAAAAGAACAAGAAAGGGAAATGATAGAAATAATATTAGACATAGTGTGAAGGAAGTGGGTATCTACTCTCCCTTGAAACATATATGAGAAGGTGAGCCCAAAAGTATCAGGATCCCTTGACTGGTTGAAAAAGATCGTCAGCCCCATAAAGAGTAACCCAATGGCTGCTTTGCCCAGTAGCCGGTTGTAAGGAGCCTGATTGCACTGGCATGGCCCAGCTTGATATGGGAGTTGTGTGAATCTGGGCCTTTGTTTGTAGTAGGAAGAATACACTAATTTGAGTCGAGTCAATCAGGGGAAGGTAATTCTTCACAAGAGTCTCCAAACTGATAGCAGGAGTTAAAAGCATAGCTGGAACAGGCCCCCTTACTCTATTAACCCAAAGGAAAAAAATAGGTCAGCACAGCACAGCACAGCACAGCACAGCACAGCACAGCACAGCACAACGAGGGTTACCCAAATAAGCTTTGATTCAGGAAGTCCCATTACCTAATATAAGGCTGATTGTCCTGAATATAATGTAAGGCATGCAAAACACATTTTTAGCATTCTAATTATACCCCTGCACCATCACTCAAGAGATTTCCTTTGCCTAAAAAAACTCTGACCATATTTTATTGCTATCCAACCATTTAAAAAGAATTAGCTTTACCCATGACATATTCCAGCTAAGCAAATCTATTTTTAATTGTGGCCACTGCCACCAAGTGATGATCTTTGCCATCCTGATGCCAACGTATGAACACAAACTCTTCCTTTTCTAATCAAGATCACTGACAGACATTTGGAATTTTCTCCTAGAAAGTTGTAGGCATCCAAAAGAGCTTACATCCCCTCCCCATTTTACATATTATTATATATGTATAATTCTTTACACTGCTTCTCTCTTACCAAAAGAACCACATTGTTATTATAAGCAAAAATACACTGGGTGTTATCTTAAGTGATTATCTTCAATATTAATGGGTATCATCATTTCTGATGTCTCTGTTAATATAAAAGTTTATATTCATTCATTTAGCAGTGATAAAGTGTAAAGTGCTTCACTGTTTGGAATGTGGAGCCCTCACAATTTTCATAGGAGATAGCTACTGTTCCCATTTTTCAGAGAGAAGCAAAAATTTTGAGAAACTCATCTTAATGTTCTCCCAGAAGATACCTTAGATAAAATGAATGATATTAAATCTCTGTCCTTGAAACAGAAAGATAGATAAAACATCCAAGCTCTGACCCTGAGAGGATGCAATCTAAGTAACTAGCAATTCTCTCTACATTTTTGGATTTCAACCAAATGGAGGACATCTATATTTCCCTTCTGCTGAAATGAATTTTTTATTCTTACAAAAACAGCAGTTATATTACTCTGCTTTAGCTCAGAAGGAAACATCAGATATCAGCTCTTTGAGCTTTCTTTCTCATCAGAGAGGACCTAACAAGTGATGTAACCAAACTTTTCACATGACCAAGAGTTTGTGAGCTACAAAGCAAGATGATTTATTACATTTATATATCACTTTTCCTCCTGGGACAACATTTTTACGCTTAAAGTAACTCTGTGAGCATGCTAGGTCATGAGAGAACATGTGATCCAATTTCAGACATGAGCATACAGGACAGGAACTGCCAGAGGAAACTGCAGATTAAACTCAACGGACCACTCTGAATGGAAGGGTTGTGGGAATGTGTTATCAGGATGTCAGTGCTCTAGTTATCTCATTTCTGTGCCCTCAAAATACAGCTTAGCCTGCAGAAATTAAGCAAGTTAAGCTTTCTTCCTCATATATTACTGCTGCTAAGAATTAGGAGTTCCTAGAGGTTTTTCTCCCCTATCAAAATCCATGCATCTAATGGCACATATGTAAATAGCATGCTGAAAGAAGCAATTTAATATCACTTCAGTGTAGCTTCAAAGAGAATGAGACAGTGCATAAAGCAATTCGTTGCATGGGCAGGCAATCTGCAACCTCCAGGTATTTTGGATAACCATTTCCCAAATCCTCTATCATGTTAGTCAAGACTGATGAGAGTTGAAATCCAAGCATCTAGAGGGCAGTGGGTTTTTTCTCCCTTTGGGTGTCTTCTCCAGCCAAACATACCTCATAGAGGTTGTTGTGAGGGCAGAGGGGATGGGCAAAGAATTGGAAAGATGTGGTAACAATAATACATGACTCTTATTTAAAAAGAAATGCTTCACCCATACATAGGCTTTACATACTTCTGTTCTAGAATGAAATTCTAACTGATGGGCCATTGCAACCAGCACCAACTACAGGCAATAGTTTAGATCCTCTCACAGATTCCCAGAAAAATGTCCAATCTGGTATAAAGTAGGCTGATGCACTGCAAGCCCAAAGCCTGTCTCCCCCTCTGCTCCCCATCCTTGCTTATTTTCAGTGTTAGATATTGTTTTCTTCCTCACCACAGAGCTGTAAGTATGGCCATCAGAGCCACAGACGGAGGCGAGCTGGGTCATGTGACAAGGTTTGCACAAGTTCTCCTTGTTTCCATGGAGCTTCACGGCAGGCTGTTTGATTCTGTGCCGGTGTGCCGGAGAGAGAGAAAAGAGAAAAAGCAGTGCACGTTAAAGCAGGGTAACCTCAAGTGCTCTTCTTCTTGGTGTTTTGGGAATGTGAAATGCCCCCAATTCAAGGCTAGAGGAGAAAGCTCCACAAAGGATCTTACTGCAATGTTAATACCCCTGAAGAGAAGTCACTAAGGGCTCCCCCAACCTGCTGCTCTCCAGAGGTGTTGTGAGTACAGGTTCACAAATTCCCAACCAGCATGGCTAATGGGGATTATGGAAGCTGTAATCCCGACACCTCCAAAAGACATCAGGTTAGCTAAAGTTGCCTTGTGGCCCTGAAGAGAACAGGCATAAATCAAGAGAAACGTTTCATAGCAGCAGTGAAAGGCAACGGTTCATCTCTAAGCTTTGAACTGCATGGTTTATTCATGGCAGAAGAGATGAGGCAGTCTTTAAGGGAGAAGGAAAAGGCACGTGAAAGATGAATTTTGTTGAATCAGCATGGACATCCATGTGAAGGATCGGAAGGAGGCCTCAGCCATGGGTAAAGGTGTGCAGCACACAACTCTCTTTCTCTCTTTTTGTTCTTAAATTTAAAAAGAAAAGAGGTTGGCATTCCTTTTATTTGTGCTGGCAATATCCTACTTCCTTCTTCAGTAAAAATGTACACGCTCCCAGATTCCAAGTCATTAAGAGCGATAGCACTAGATGCCAAACATCATTAACACGTCTACAAAATACAATGAATAACTTTGAACTTGCTAGATTAGTGTCTCCCAATCTTGGTTCCTCAGATGTTAGGCTTCAAAAGAGGTCTAAAAAGTACAACTTCCTAGCATCTCTTCTGAGTCATCCAAAGTGGATGGGATCAAAAACACCAGTCCTCTGATTTGGAGGGTGGAGGGAGGCTCTAAGAGGCATAAAACGTGGCCCTCAACATACTGTGCTAATTCTTGATCTGGCTGATGTTGTGCACGGCTGCCTGGGGATAATGAAACAGAAATCCAACATCATCTGTAAACCAGGATTTGGGAAAAGCTTGTGCCTAGACCAGTGGTCCTCAACCGTTTTGAATCCATAGCACAATATTTAATACAGCAGTAGTTCCGTGGCACACCAGAAAATTATTTGTATATATGTATTTTTAAGTGGGTAAGGCATGGTTCAAGGGAAAGTTATACATTTTTTAACATATCTGCACTGTACTGAATATACAGAATGTACATAATACAAATTTAAAAAAAAACACATAAGACAAACATCTTATGGCACATCAGAAACAAGCCCATGGTACACCTGGGTGCCACAGCATGCCAGTTGAGAACCACTGGCCTAGTCTGTTTGGCTATTGCTGCCCTGAATAATGATACCTTCTCCACCTTCTCTAAAGTAGCCCTAAGTCCAGCTGACCATAAAATACCTGGTTAAATCAACAAGTACAGTATCCGAATAGCCAGTTCACTCAGTCGGGGATGAATATGTAACTTAGCCAGTTCCTTACCGGTGCTCCAGCTTTTTCCGGCTGATGCACATGGCCCGCTGGTAGCCCTGGGCAATGCACACCTTATGCCGGCTGCATTTGATTTTCTGGCATGGATCTTTCGTGGTGTCCAGACCTGAAGAAAGAGGCAAAGGGAAGGTGTGTTATCATATAATACACTATCCAAAATATCACCCACCCTGCTGAATCTTTCCTGTAGCACCTTCACATAGACTGTCATCTAATATATGACAGAGCAATCCTGGTTACATATTCCAGTGCTGTTTTATGCATCAATCTCAGGATTGGAAGTCACTTTATGATTCAATTTAAAAAGAATCTGGTTGTCAAACTTGTTTTTTTTTTTCCTAATACCATGGCTGCCATTTATAATGTTTAAATGATGTGCCAACATTATTTATTTGAGCGTTGAATTTATATCCTGCTCCTATTTTGATATAAGCTAAAACACTGTAGAGGAAATTACATTCGTTCAATGTAGGAGATGCCAAGGGCTGGCCTTCACTGGCTGGATACACTTGTGAATATTTAGTCAACAGGTAAATCAGTGGAGCCACATCCATGTCCTTTAATCATTCAAGTCCAGAGGTTCCTTGGTTTTGCACAGAGCACATGTCTGGAAATGGTAATTTTACACCAGTGTTTTTTAAACTTGGCAACTTGAAGATGTATGGACTTCAACTTCCAGAAGTCCCCAGCCAAGTTGAATTTCTTACTTTGTGGTCAAAGCATCTGCTGAATCATAATATTGGAAAATCATGAATTCTGATGTGATTCCCACCAGAGTTAATGGAAGAGGATCTCTTCCATTAAGATGGTTTCCCATCTTCACTCATAACCCATATTATTGTTTCGATTTTTTTTTAAAAGGAACACTAACTATGGATACCAACCAAACCACCCCAGGACTGGTCA